TATATTAAGTTGCAAGATGATTGTTGGAACAGGAACTAACGTAATAAGTGACTCATCCGTAAACGCGATTACAGTTTCAATAAAATTTCCAGCTGAAGTCAAGCATCGGCAATGAAGTTTTCAGAAGTAACTGACACTTCTGTCAAAAAGTATGATGATTTAAAAGTTAAAAAACTAAAAAAAAAACCCAAGAAAGCACAAAAAAATTTAAAAGTTTGGGAAAACCAGGAAAAAACTGAAAAAAAAACTAATAAAAAGCACTAAAAAAACTGAAAAAACCCTGAAAAACTTAAAAAAAACAAAGAATTGAAAAACATTCATCGATTTTTAAAAATTTTTCTACATAGGTACTTCTTTCTAAGCACAATGATACCAGTGAATGTGCATGTTTTAATACTACTACTACGAAACATCCGTCCTACTTCACCGAGATCCACGGGGGTCCCCCCCCCCCTCGCCTCCCCTCCTCTCTCCCTCCTCCTTTGCTACCAAGGTGCTGTATTCCTGGAAAATACGGCCGAATCCACACATATTTTATAAATCATATAAAAGAAATGGGATCAGTAGCATGGTTCCCTTGAACAGACAATTGAAATGTAAATGTGAGGAACCAGTTTTATGTGTGTGAGAAGACAACATACACACTGTCTAGAATAGCCCTCTTTTATATTGCAATTTTCAAGGGCACCAAACGTTTTTGCTCGGATCACCGTGCAAAATTTCCCGCAATACAGGGAGCAGATTTTAAACAGAAAGTGTAAAATTTTCTGAACAAAAATTTCTGGAACGGACCCCCCCCCCGCCCGCCCCATCTTTGAGGGCAAATCAGGACAAGATCCTCACAGCCGACATATCTATTTGCCTAAACAAAACACGAAAAAATCGAAACTAATCTTGGTAGTCCTAGAGGAGGTGTTGAAAAACCTGAGTAAAAGAGGACTCAAGCTAAAAGCAAGTAAATGCGAACTTCTGCGGAAAGAAATGCTTTTCTTGGGGTATCTTATTTTTGAGGAAGGAATGAGAGTGGACCCGGAAAAAATTAACAAAGTGTAGGACTATCCGCGCTCCACGTCGGAAAAAGGACTGACAGTCTTTCTAGGAATGTGCTCGCATTACCGGAAATTTGTCCGGGGAAAATCTGGCGTTCTCGAAGCATCTAGAATACCTCTAATGCCAGGTACAAATTCTACATCAACACAAAAGCTCATCATAATCCACTACTTATGAGAAATGTTAACAAATGTCATGAGAACCGATGATAGGCGAAACTTTCGATAGCTTTCTTCCTCTGAGCAAGTTGATGGCAGTTTTGACACCCTACCACACCGCAGGGCCAATTTTATCGTTTAATCCCACTATTAGATTGTCGTTTCTCCTGCTTCTTTCTGTCGTCTTCCTCTTTTCTTTTTCCACTAAGCACTGCGACTGTCATACTGATGAGGTCCTGTTGCGCGGGTGTTGAGTTAAAGCGTATATGACTTAATGGACCGAAACATCTTATCTCACTCTTATCTCCTTCTCTCATGCTGTAATCTATCGCACCCTCACCAAAGAGGTTTCCAGAGTCCAACTGGTTGCTACAATCTGTTTACCATCGAAACGAATGAACGAATCGTCGAGGAACTTGTTGTCCCAAAAAAGCGGAACCCTTGTCCTCCAGGAAAAAAATACCTTTACTTACCACTACACCACACCAACAACATCAATTTGTCCGTGTCCAGCAACAACAACAGCCCCGTTCGAATGCGGGAAAACGAAACGGGCAAATAATAAAATAGAAATAGAAAAGAAAGAGGGGACCATGGAATGAATGGATGGAAAGACCTCGAAATCAAGAAGTGAAATAGATAGTGGAAAGCATACGTTTCTCAAAAAAATGTTGAGGAGATGTAATGAGGACCTGTAGGGAAGCTAAATGTGAACTTGGCTGTCTGTGTGTTTCATCCCTAAGCTGCAAACACAGACAGTATGCGGTGTGGATTGGGGTGGGAATTGTCAGCGCAGCTCCCAATCTACTATTTGGCTGACCAAAAATTAGTCATTCCAGGCAGGAATGTCAGGGTTGTGATAGATGAGGGGTGGTAATAATAACCCTAAATTACCAACAGAAAAAAGAAAATACAAAATAACGCTACAAGGATAAAGAAACGTAAGAAATAATAAAAATGATACTTCTCGGCATTGCTTCTCAAGTTGCTCCAGGCGTATCTGTCGTGCCTCCTCGCGTGCCTGTCTTTTACGGGTCATGCGTTCCTCGGCCTGGAAAAAAATATCCATAAAATTAATTTTTTACCGAAAATTTCAAGTTGTTATTCCCTTTTTTTTGTGAACTACATTTTATTTCTTTATGAAAGTACTGTAAGCAAAAATAACATTGCCTGTGCTGCAAGTCCATTCGCTACAATAGAAGTAGTTAGTAACTTTTAAGCTTCTATACTTACATTTCTATGGCAAGTGATTTTTACCCAGTGAAAACAAGAAATTTCGCCTTAGCTTTATGAAGATCAAAAAGCAAAACTCCCTTTTGATCCATTCGCTACGACGTCTGAATTAGCCGCCCAGTGGTAGTACTTGTCAAGTAAGACGGCTTCTGATGATCCTCTTTTGAGGTTTCTCAAAAGAAAACTGATGGTGGCAGTTCTCCGATGCGAATTTATCATCGAAAAGAACTGAACAAAAGTCCGAACATTCCACACACATGCGCACACACACGCAAACACGTACACACACATGTATGCACGCATATTCGCAGGCAGGGTCTCGATAACATTTGTTTATATCACCACTGTTGCAACACAAAATGCATAGAAATTCACTCCGAATACGCACACACACATGCATACACACACACACATATATACACACAGGCAGATACATGTACACACACGCAGACAGGGTCTCGACAACATTTGTTTGCATCACTGCTGTAGCAAAAAATGCATAAAAATTCATTCAAGATACGCACACATACATGCATGCACATACACATACACACACATGCACACACACATATGCACATATACACATATACACACATATTCGCAGACAGAGTCTCGATAACATTTATTTGTATCACCACTGTTGCAGCACAAAATGCATAAAAATTTATTTCACATATGCACACACACACATACATACACACACATGCATATGCACACGTACACAATCAGACAGGGTCTCGATAACATTTGTTTGTATCACTGCTGTAGCACAAAATGCATAAAAATTCATTTCACATACGCACACACACACACATGCATGCACACACATATGCACATACACACATATGCACACATATTCGCAGACAGGGTCTCGATAATATTTATTTGTATCACCACTGTTGCAGCACAAAATGCATAAAAATTTTTGGTTCTGGAAAAAAAGGATAATTGGTTGTGTCCGTGCGAACTTTCGACCTTCTTCAAATGTTCGTTATCCAAATTTACCAGAAAAATCTATTAAAATCAAGGAAATAACTGCAAAAAAAAAAACGATATTTGGTGCACCGTTGTATGCCAACAAATGTACATACATCGCGTGATATACGGTCTAACACCTCCTCTTCGGCACTCTGTCGACTGAGCGCACGCCGCCTTCCACCGGCATAATTACTGCTGCTACTACCACCGCCACCGCCGCCGGCACTCATTGGTTCTCAGCAGCAACACGGACAATGCCGTTTGAGCACTACCGGATCAACAACGGCCTGAAAACAGCTCAAACAAACGGGGAATATATGGTACAAAAGAAAAAATGGGGTATAAAAGGAAGGGAAAAAGCGTGAAATAGTAGAACAGAGGAGGATTGGACTTAAGCGTCATGTGTAAGAAGACATTTTACGATGCAGTCTGTGTTTCATCCCTTAGCTGTAAACACTG